AAAATGGTAATGATGCAAAAAGAAGGTGCTTTTAATTTCTATTTTGGTTTTTGCATGCAAAGTTGCTTTTTAAATGTAACTATCTCTCCTCAAAAAGAGGGTGATAAAGAGAGGGAGCTAGAGCTTCGAGGCCATAAATTCCTAGTTTGTTACCGCCATCCTGGTGTCCCTCGATCTATTCCCGATTTAGATATCCCCATATCATCCGTGGAATTTCCGGCCAATATACGTTCTTCCTTTCTTCCCCGTTCCATTTTCTGACGACGCTGAAACAACTACCTACATCTTCAAGTCTTGATTAGTGTCGTTAGAAGTCTTACGTCGTGCGGCGGGCGGCATTCCATGAAACAGAGAGTCCTGCTTACGGAAAGGTAGGTAGTAAAAACAGACTTCAATTCTTGTGGGTTTTTTGGGTTTCCCATTGAAAAAGATTATAATTTATGACGATCTTAATCCCCGGTCGGTTATTATTTATTTTTGCATGTCATTGAAAACTTTTCTTCCTTTCCTATTCTCAATTTCCACCCTACATTCTTTCTACAAAATTCCATAAAAAGGATTAGAACATAAAAATGGTAATGATGCAAAACGAAGGTGCTTTTAATTTCTATTTTGGTTTTTGCATGCAAAGTTACTTTTTAAATGTAACTATCTCTCCTCAAAAAGAGGGTGATAAAGAGAGGGAGCTAGAGCTTCAAGGCCATAAATTCCTAGTCTGTTACCGCCATCCTGGTGTCCCTCGATCTATTCCCGATTTAGATATCCCCATATCATCCGTGGAATTTCCGGCCAATATACGTTCTTCCTTTCTTCCCCATTCCATTTTCCGACGACGCTGAAACAACTACCTACATCTTCAAGTCTTGATTAGTGTCGTCAGAACTCTTACGTCGTGCGGCGGGCGGCATTCCATGAAACAGAGAGTCCTGCTTACGAAAAGGTAGGTAGTGAAAACACACTTCAATTCTTGTGGGTTTTTGGGTTTCCCATTGAAAAAGATTATAATTTATGACGATCTTAATCCCCGGCCGGTTATTATTTATTTTTGCATGCCATTGAAAACTTTTCTTCATTTCCTATTCTCAATTTCCACCCTACATTCTTTCTACAAAATTCCATAAAAAGGATTAGAACATAAAAATGGTAATGATGCAAAACGAAGGTGCTTTTAATTTCTATTTTGATTTTTGCATGCAAAGTTGCTTTTTAAATGTAACTATCTCTCCTCAAAAAGAGGGTGATAAAGAGAGGGAGCTAGAGCTTCGAGGCCATAAATTCCTAGTCTGTTACCGCCATCCTGGTGTCCCTCGATCTATTCCTGATTTAGATATCCCCATATCATCCGTGGAATTTTCAGCCAATATATGTTCTTCCTTTCTTCCCCGTTCCATTTTCCGACGACGCTGAAACAACTACCTACATCTTCAAGTCTTGATTAGTGTCGTCAGAACTCTTACGTCGTGCGGCGGGCGGCATTCCATGAAACAGAGAGTCCTGCTTACGGAAAGGTAGTAAAAACAGGCTTCAATTCTTGTGGGTTTTTTTGGTCTCCCATTGAAAAAGATTATAATTTATGACGATCTTAATCCCCGGCCGGTTATTATTTATTTTTGCATGCCATTGAAAACTTTTCTTCATTTCCTATTCTCAATTTCCACCCTGCATTCTTTCTAGAAAAATCCATATCGAGTCTTTTAACTTAGGCGTATGAGAAAATTCCATAAATAGGATTAGAACATAAATAAAGTGTATAAATAGGTTTATCATATTTATCTTCTTAAAATAGGACTCATTTACTTTAAATTAGATAAGTTTTATACTTTTGATAAGATCAAATAATAAGTCTTATTTAGGAATAAAACATAAGACGGTAGAAAAAAGTTCAATTGAAGAGTTAATCATTAAAGGCATGAAAAGACGTAAGTCTAGGCACGAAAGGTGGGGCTTAGAATGAAAGGACGGGAGTTTTTTACGGAGTAGATAAATTTTTTTTGCAAAGAAAAAGTTGATTAAATTTTAAAAAACAATTTTATAACATGTTATATACTACGTATTGATTTTAACGCGGAGTAGTAATAAGTAACAATATACTAAGTACGAGTATCATTTTGTATTTACACTTTTTATACATTTTAAATTATATATATTGAATGAAGTAAAAATTAGGGTCCATTTTGTATAATATTTTTCAGGCATTATATTTTTGATTCATATATCACAGTAAAATACTATCGTAGTAATTATCAATAGAATTAAAATGCTTTTTCACGCTTAGACTTTGTAATTCTTGTCTATGCTTCAAAGACTTGAGGCCTTGCCACGCCTTACACTTTTAGATCACTGTATTTTAGACTATTTTGAAGCAATTTGTTTAAAATTTTCATGTCAAAGACTTTTCCACCGAAATATTAGAGGGAAAGTTTATCGTAGATGACCACTTTTCTGTGTAATTTTTTATTCATATGAAAAATGCGTGTGAACAAACTTTATTAGTTGTTCATATCTCAATTACATGGCCAATAAGGAACATATGAGTCCGTTGGGATAAATTGTATAACCATCAAAATAAGTAAGATTGAAGTTACTTTTCGTAATTTTGTCAATTCAGGATCTGAAAGATAGATAAATTATCAATGTGAGACCCGAAAGATGAAATGTATTGGTATAGGACCCAAATGATGGAAAACTATAAATCTAGGACTTAACATTTCATAGGTTTTGATTTATTTAATTTTTAATTAATTTCATTGTGAATTTTTTATTAACTTTTCACCTGCGGTGGGGTAAGTTGGGTCGGATGTACGCAGACTTACCCCTATACTAAAGTACAGAGAGACTGGCGTTATAAAAATAATAAAATTCATGAAAACTTAGATCCTAGATTGATAGTTTTCAATCATTCAGGTCCTAAATTATTAGCTTTCCATCATTTGGGTCTTATATCAATACATTTTATATTTCAGATCCCGGAATGATAACTCGCCTACCTTTCAGTTCCTGAATTGATAAAATTATATTTTAAATATAGTTTTTCTCACAACTTAGTAGACTCAAACATTTCATTGAGAATCTTATCATTTTCATCAAATTCTAGTGATTTAGCCTAATTTAGTGTCACTAAACGAGCTCTAAATCACCAAATTCACTTTTCTTTCTCTCATTATTAGAAGCATAAATACTCCCTTCGTCCCTTAAAATTATTCTCAGATTAACTTGGCTCGGAGTTGAAGAAAGTGAGAATAAAGTGGAAATGTATGGTTGTGGTTGAGTAAGAAAAAGGTAAATGAATATTAGTCATACAAAATTTTCCAAAAATGAAAATGGGATTTTTTTTTGGGGAATTTCCAAAAATTTTGATAAATCGGAAGAATTTTAAGGGACAGAGGGATTTTTCCGGGGGTTAACGTAATTTAGTTAGATCCAATAGTATTGTCATGTGTATGGATGAGAACCTGATTGGCTTGCAATGTAATTTGTTAGCAACATTAGTGTCTTGGTGAGTTGGGAATCTTGGGATGTTTTTACGTGTAATTTGCTGGTCTGGTCTGGCTGATTGGTCTAGTCTCGACTGGTCTGGTCTGGTCTGGAACGTCTGGTCTCTGTGTATTCTATAACTACGAAAGTCAAGTCTGGTCTGGTTTGTTTAAGTCTGGTCTGGTCTGGTCTGGCCTGATTTGTTTAAGTCTGGTCTGGTCTGGTCTGGCCTGATTTGTTTAAGTCTGGTCTGGTCTGGGACTGAAACCGTCCAAATAAAAACATTCCAAGTGAACCACGTTTAATCTGTATCTGTTACTTTACATTATTCATTTCTCTTTGATCTGCCATAATTCTTCATGACATTAATAGTCAAGTTAAGAGTATTTTATGGACTCGTAACTAAGACAAATTAAAAGGCAAATTCTCATACTATATGGACCTCAAAATGTGTTGATAGCTTTTGTGAGCCCATGCATAATCAACTGATTTTCACCTGGTTTAATTAGCTTGCAGGTGTGGGTATAGAGGATTGCATATATATAATTTGGAGCTAGCTACTAGCTAAGAAGGGGAGAAATGGCTGGTGGGCAGGATATTATGCTGTCAGCATCAATAAACCTTCTATCTGCAATTGCATTCTTAGTGGGGTTTACAATTTTAAGGCTGCAGCCCTTCAATGATAGGGTATACTTCCCAAAATGGTATTTGAAGGGCATACGAGCAAGCCCAAGAAGTTCAGGGCCCCTAGTGCGGAAGTTTGTGAATCTGGATGCAAGGACATATATAAGGTTCTTGAACTGGATGCCCGCTGCACTAAAGATGCCTCAACCTGAACTTATTGACCATGCAGGCCTCGATTCTGCGGTCTACATTAGGATTTACCTTCTCGGGTGAGTACGTTTTACATATGTTTCACAATTAAATGGCCCCCAGGGGCGTAGCTAGGGGGGCCAATCCTGACCCCGGCCCAGTCTAAATTTTAAAAATATCTACATTTTTAAGGTAAAAAATTTTGTGTAAAATTTTTTCAAAAAATATTCTTTGTACCGTACCGGTTCAGTCCGCCCCAGCCTAGTTCAGTGTCCAGGCTCCGCCCCTGATGGGCCCCAATAGGGAGCATAAACATATAGATCTATCAAACTAGTTATATGTTACTCCCTTCGTCCCGCTTAAAGGTTCTCGGTTAAAAGTTTTCTAAATTCATAAAAATAAAAATCAGATTTGATAAAAGTTGAATATATAAAGTAAAATATTAAGAATAATTAACATTAAGTTTAAGTGAAACGGGTAGTATCACTGAAATAGGATTTATTTAGTTTTAAGAGAAGCATAAAAGCAAATAAAGTCTTTTTTCATGAGTGAATGAGTCCTACCTAGAGAAAGTTTGAATGGTGATTTCCGAGATGAGTCTTTGGTATTAGGTAACGCAAAAGGCAGTAAAATACACCAGCTAAGATGTAAACCCGCATATGCTTGCTGTCTGTATGAAAGCTACTGGTATATAATTCATTACTCTGTTCTTAAACCTGTTTTTAACTAGTCTTATTCTTTCCAAACTCTATTAAACACAATTGAGGTGGTAGTAAGTTCACTTGAGGAGAATGATGAACTATCACTCGAATTTTCAAAAGTTTTCAAGAAATTAAAAGAGAGGAAATCAGGAATGTGCCTTGCAAAAAAACCTTATCTTCCTTTTTTGTTTCCCGCCGCCCTCTCTCATACGAAGAAAGTCCTTAGATGCACAGAAAATGCACAATACCTCAACCAACGGGTAGTTCCAAAAGTCGATCAAATGGTGTTTTCAGGCGAGGCCCAATCCATAGGTAACTTGCAGACACAATCCTCATAATTGATCTATGCTTTAAAATCAGTCCGACGATGGGCAGTGAATTCTATGAATTATTTTTTTTCAAAAGTTGTCCAAAAAGTGTCAAAAAATTTTAAAAAAGTCAAATGAAGTCGTAGATACTGTAAGCGTGAAGAAATACGCCATAGAATCCGGAAGAAAAAGTTGTTTTAATCGTTTGGATTGTTCATTAAAATATCACTATTCATCGTCTTCCTCCTCATTGTTTACCAGGAGAAATCACCACGGCACTGTGCCACATAACATTGAAGGAGCCACCCTAAGTTTTTATTGGCCATGTAAAGGGTCAATTTAAAAAAAAAAATCCCACCTCGCTATTTCTAATAGAGTTTGGCTTCTGACCCATGGGTGATAACAGACTTAAAACATGAGGGCGACCTTGAAAATAAATTAATGAAACACATTTCCTATCTGAAAATGTTCTCTGCCACAAGTCTACTTTCTGTACTTCTCCTAAAAATTTATGACTTTTTTGATATATGCCATTTTAGTTTTTCATTAATAGTATGATACTACAACATCAAATTAGGCAAACTATCCATTCAAAAAATTATTGTCATATAAGTTTACATATGACACCACACCATAAATTAGGAAGAAAAATCTTAGTCATATATTCCAAAAGATATCACCTTTAATCATGTGTAATTTTCTCTAAAATAATAGTACTAAGTTTTGTGTATTTTGCTTATGCTTTACTCCTACTTGTGAAGATTCTGCATTTCTTTGTTATGCATGAGTTGTTTCCTTGTATACGTTATACCCCTACTTAATCATCAACATCATCCGCATATATGTAACTCTTAACTTTATAGAAGATAAATTTGAACTCTATAATTACGTCTTCTGGATATACATTTGTTGGGGTCCTAGCTATGGCTTATTAGTCAAAGTGTACAACTTAAAGTATAACACTTGCACTTTTTTGTTTCTAATCCAATATACAAACTTTCAATGCAGATTGAAAATATTTGTTCCCATTACAATTCTTGCATTTGGTGTCTTGATTCCTGTTAATTGGACGGGTGAATCATTGCAGAATCACAAGGACATAACATACAATGACATTGATAAACTTTCAATCTCAAATATTGATTCTGGATCGGCAAGGTGTGTATATATGTCCAAACACATGTTTATGACCATATATTATGACAAACTAATTAAAAATATATTCCTTAATGTTGACCCTTTTATTTGCATTGGCTAATTTTTGTGTAATTAAGGTTATGGGCACACATAACAATGGCTTATGTGTTTACATTTTGGACCTTCTATGTTCTCTACAAAGAGTACAAAATTGTCTCCACCTTGAGGTTGCAATTCCTTGCTTCTGCAGATCGCCGTCCTGATCAGTTCACTGTGCGTGCATACAACAATACTATGGGATTGCTATAAACTTCTATTTCATTAATAGTGTTTGACTTCTTCATCTTTTGCTGATTAAAAGTGGTGGTTCAATTCCTTTTGAAGGTCCTTGTGAGAAATGCCCCTCCTGACCCTGATGAATCTATTAGTGAGCACGTTGAACACTTCTTCTGTGTAAACCATCCACATCATTACCTTTTACACCAGGTTTGTGATCTTTAGACTATATATGCTACTTTTTGAATTCTTAAAAGCAGCTCAAGAAGAAGTGAGTTGCTGGTTTAGTCTATTTTGAACTTTTTTGAAGTTTTATGCTACATAACCTTAAAATGGTGAAAGTTTTAGATTGTATACAATGCAAACAACCTTGCAACACTGGTGGAGAAAAAGAAGTCTATGACAAACTGGCTTACTTACTACCAAACCAAGTATGAGAGAAACCCAAAAACAAAGCCAAAAACAAAGGTAATTCATCCCACATCATATGTACATGGTATAATTAAATATGAATATCTTTTGTGTAATTGGATCATAGTCTCATTTCTTCATCATGTGTAGACAGGACCTTGGGGCCTTGTGGGAACAACTGTTGATGCCATTGATTATTACACTTCTGAAATCAAGAAGTTGAGTGAAGAAGTAAGTTTCTCTCCACTATATGATCTGATCTACGATTCATGTTTTGAGCTAGGATGGCGGCGCAAGTCATGTTAGAGCTTATAGATACCACCCACTTCATATTTAATTAGTTTTTGACCTATGAAGCACGGAAACTTTCGAGAAGCAATACGTTTTCGTCTCGAAAAATCTGCGAAAACTATTTGGAAACTCTCCAAACAGTTCTTTTTCGAGCAAAATATGGCGATTCCCGTTTCTCATTTCCTCGTGATTTTCATGTTTCCGTGCAACATAGTTTTCGACCAATCCATTTTAATATTCCATCTTTTACAGGTTATTCTATACTTATTGCATTTTAGTTTTCAACTGGTATAAGAATTTATTTGTAGTGTATTAAACTGCGGGTGAGTTGATCAAACTAATTTTCTTGTGTCTTATAAATTTTTCGAACTAATTGGTATGAAGTTCAAATGGTACCATCAACTTAGAAATTTCAATGTAATGATACTTGTTTATTTCATGTAATAGTTGAGATACCAAAATATATCAATACCATTCGTTCAAGTGTTCAAGTTATGCCTCATTATACATGATATTTCGCATGGATGGAGAATAATTGGCACATGTTGCTGATGTGGTTTGGCGTAGGAAGATGTAGAAAGAGAGAAAGTGTTGAGTGATCCAAAGGCGATAATGCCTGCAGCGTTTGTTTCGTTCTCATCTCGATGGGGAGCAGCCGTGTGTGCCCAAACGCAGCAAACAAGTAACCCGACGATATGGCTGACTGAATGGGCTCCCGAACCGCGTGATGTCTATTGGAACAATCTTTCCATCCCATATGTTGAACTCAACATCAGAAGGTTGCTCATGGGAGCTGCTTTCTTCTTCCTCACCTTCTTTTTTATGATTCCCATTGCATTCATTCAGTCTCTTGCCAGCATTCAGGGCATTGAAAAGGTCTTTCCTTTCTTGAAGAAATTGATTGAAATGTAAGTGGTCTCATTTTTTACTTATATATTCTTCCATATAAAAAAAGAGGATTGAAATTGCATATTTTAGTTAAGGCTTTGTTTTAATAAAACCTTAGGTATTACTTGGTCTTTTAATGCATTTTGCAGGGATATTGTGAAGTCTTTTATTCAGGGGTTTCTTCCAGGAATTGTGCTAAAGATATTTATGATTGTACTTCCAACAATTCTGATGACCATGTCTAAAATAGAAGGCTTTACATCACTTTCATCTTTAGAGAGAAGATCGGCCGGAAAATATCATTTGTTTATATTTGTGAATGTATTTCTTGGAAGTATTATCACGGGAGCAGCATTTGAGCAACTCAAGACTTTTATGAATCAGTCACCAACTGAGTATGTTCCCATCATCTTATACTACCTCCAACCCAAAATGGAAGTTTGAATTTGAATTTTACGGTCTTCAATATCAACTTTAACATTATTATATACATGTAATATATATATATCAATAAAAGATGTGGTGCATGTATAATAACTCGATATTTTGAAAATATGTATGAAATTGAATTAGACTTGGATATTATAAAAAGATGCAATACAATTTATTAAAAATGAATAGTTAAACTTAGTGAAGTTTAACTTGAAAATTCAAGTTGGTACTTCTATTTTGAGACAATGAGAGTATATATTGTGGAGTATATGATTAAAAGAGACTTAAGTTGAACATATGAATAGTAAATGTGATTATCTTTTTTAGGACTGAGGAAGCAATATAATATCTCATCATATAGCTTTTCAATCTTCTTCTAGTCATTTAAAAAAAGTTCTACATATCAGGATATATATGGAGTAAATCCTTCAAAGTCTTAGCCTCTAAATCCCTTCAAAGCTCTTAATCTAAGCTGATCATTTGGATTAAACAACAAGAATTAGACTGTATACAGGAGAGTTGGAGAGGAAAAAACAGTATGGAAAAAACTAAAGAACATTATTACATATTTATCGATTCTCATTTTATTTCATTATGTCTATTATATCAAGTTGTATAAAAATTAAAAATATCATTTATATTAAATCAATCACATAAACACACATAAATATATTCTAACAGAAAGTATAATGATTGCATGCAGGATCCCAAAAACGATTGGGGTAGCTATTCCAATAAAGGCAACATTCTTTATTACCTACATAATGGTAGATGGTTGGTCTGGCATTGCAGCAGAGATCATTAGATTAACGCCGCTAATTATGTTTCATATAAAGAACAGTTTTTTGGTGAAGACGGAGAGGGACAGGGAGCAAGCCATGGATCCTGGTTCTATAACTTTTGCTACCTCAGAACCTCGTATTCAACTTTATTTCCTCTTGGGCCTTGTTTATTCTGTCATCACTCCCATACTCCTTCCTTTCATTGTTCTCTTCTTTTCCTTTGCCTATCTGGTTTTCCGCCATCAGGTTTGCTACTCTTCTTTCCTAATGGAAAATATATATTTGATATTGTGTTCATTTATGTATGTTATTAATCTTGTAATTTTCTTGACTTGCATATTCATGTAGCTTATGAAGGGAAGCCTTGACACATTGGCTATGGTGTTCCTCTGTGGTTGAGAGGTCACGGGTTCATATCTTAGGAGCTAACGGCTTCTTGTCTAAATGACAAGGGAAGGCCATGCTAGCTTCTTATACAACCCTTGTAGTGGATTATTCCCCGACTCTCACCTTGCGGGAATGTCAATGTGCACCGAAATGCCCTTTATATCCATCTTCCCTGTACCAAGTGCGTAGATCATTAAAAATGTGGGCTGACCCATTTGACCCCCCCCCCCCCCTCCCCGACACACACACTAAAACAAGCAATTATGGACTGCAAAAATTATGCGTAGGTTCGGGATTAGGAGTACACCCCTATGGGTCAATAAGCCTTACTCTAGAATTGTACATTCCAGGGGAATCCTTTAATATGGACAAACTTATTACTTTTCTAGCATGATACGCAAATGTGTAAAGTTACATAACCAATATTAGGCACAAATATAAGTATTAATCAGTAAGATTCCTGCATTTTAACATTGTAACCAGATTATCATTAATTTCTTGCTTTTTAACATTAAATAATTAACTATATGTTCTTTTTTCTTTTGTGATCAAGATCATTAATGTGTATGATCAGAAGTATGAGAGCGGTGCCGCATTTTGGCCAGATGTGCATCGACGAATAATCATAGGTATGATCACATCCCAAGTTCTGCTTATGGGACTAATGAACACCAAAGGAATCCCCACTTCAACTCCTGTCATTCTTGTTCTCCCTGTTTTGACAATCTGGTTCCACCATGTCTGTAAGGGCCGATTTGAGTCTGCCTTTGTCAAGTACCCATTACAGGTCCTTTCTTTCTGCTACCTAAACTATGGCTTATAATTATAAATATGTTACTCTGTACATTCATATGTGTTCACTTAATGTGTCAGCTAATTCTTTTGTTTATTCTTAACATACATACTACACAGGATGCAATGGTGAGAGACACGTTAGAGCGGGCAACAGAACCGAATCTGAACATGAAAACATATCTCCAAGATGCTTACGTTCATCCCGTATTTAAGGGCGGTGAGGTGGGGCTGGAGAGACCAAGAGTAACAGTTGATGAGGAAGAGAATAGTCCCCTAGTTTCCACTAAGAGAAGTTCTCATAAGGGCAGTAAGAGAGAGTCTCATGGGAGCACTTCTACTGCTAACTAGTCTCAGGCCATCCATCTATTCCATTTAATAAGTTTGTCGTTAGAATATACTTATAATGTAATATAGAACTAATTTAATTTACAACATATAACTACTATGGATAAAAAGAAAAACTAATTGGGAAACTTACTCAAATATATACAACTCAAACATAGGGATCAGGGTTTCACTATTAAACTCATTATTGAAATACTCTTATATACCTGAAGTTAAACAAGAGAAACCTTTCACACCTCAGATTTTGTTTAATACTCCGTATATACTTAAAATATTATGAGAGGATGGTGTAGAATCCATTGATATAAACAAGAGGAAATTCAAGAGAGGTAAATTGTGTGTTTTGGAAATTACATCCTTTTGTGTGCTTCTAAAAATCATTAATAAAGTATATTTTTAAAGTAAACTACTTGATTCTTTTTCTGATGAAAATCCCTTGGCTCAAGATTGATTAAAAACTCTACCTCCCTCAGAAGAATTTTACTCACTTCCAATCAAAATCCTTTTAAATGAAAGCACAAGAGAGACTCACAAAGTCAACCCTTGAAACACCCAACTCAAATCAACTCTTGATTTGAGTCACACAAACTTGTCTTATGGACAAGATGCATACTTTATCTCAAAGTTCTCACCTTGCTTTCCAACGAGGTATAGGAGTCCTATAACAGGAAAGTAAAACACTAGCTAGAACTAGTCAAGAAAGAACTGAAACCGCTTGTACATGCTACAATGCATAAGTTCTCATTATGCTCTCTAAATATATATTTTCGATTTCAATAACCTTTCGGTGTATGGTCATTGATTCCGTTTTTTCAAATTCAAAAACATTTTGATACAGTTGGAGATTGATTGTACCAGATCATCAATCGTTATTAGTTGATGTTGGTTATGAGTTGTAATTAGAAGCTAATAAAATAGTGACATGTGTCAAGTTAGTTAAGAGTTAGTTGTTAAGTTGAGCTAACTTTGAACTAAGCTTTGATCAGTCTATATAGCTTCGTATGTACATTTGGCTGGATATGAATAATGAAAATCATCTTCTTCTCTAAACCTCTCTTCTTATTCTGATATTCTGTGTTTGATCTGTACAAGTTCTCGTTATCTCATTCTATTCTTCCCTATAGATAACCTGACTTGTATCATTGGTATCAGAGACTCGATCTTGATTACTTTTTGAGGATTAATGAAAGCAAATTAAAATCAAGAGCTTCCAGAAATATTTAGTTTTAGATCGAATAAGAATGGTGCAGACGCAGAATTCTAATTCAGAAATGGACGAAGCTTTGAAAGTCATTCAGCTGGAGTTTGATCAGAAGTTGGAGAATCAAAACAAGCTAATGATGAACATGATGAGTAAAATCACGAAGAAAGTTGTAGAAATACAGAAGACTAAAATCGTTGATAAAGAGGATGCAGGCGAAGGCAATTATCTGAAAGATAAGGAAGAATAATCAGAAGAAGAAGAACCAGTTGGAATTGTTGGCAAATCTCCATCAACAAATCAAAATGCTTTCAGGTTTACTCCCAACGTGGAATTCCCTGCGTTCGAAGGACAGAATGCGAAGATATGGATAAAAAATGCGAAAGGTATTTTACGCTTGGAAATATTCCTGATAGTCAAACGGTCAATTTGGCTTCATTGTATCTAGAAGGAAGAGCTGCAAGCTGGTTTGGAAATTATGTGGGGTCTAAGAAAAAACTGAAGTGGAAACAATTCATCTATGACCTTAGTGCTAGGTTTAATGATAATATGAGCAATAAAGTGGTTAAGAGGTTTAATAATCTGAAGCAAACATGATCATTGGAAACTTTCGTTGATGAATTTGAAACCCTTAAGGCTGCTATGGTGCAAAGAAATCCTCAATTTCCTGCAAACTATTTCTTGGACTGTTTCTTGGCCGCTTTAAAACCTACACTAAAGTCATTTGTTAAAGCTTTTAATCCTGGAAGCATGGCAGAAGCTATAGAGTTTGCAAGGCTACAGGATGATACTGCAGAAGCTATTACAATACAGGCTAAATCTGCAAATTTCCAGAAAATAGCTTTAAATAAACCATTACTGCCAACACCAACCCAGCCACCAAAGATGGTTGTTAATCCACCTAAGACTGCTAATGCACTTATGCCTAGAAAGTTTGTATCAGCTAATGAAAGGGCTGAGAAGAAAGCAAAGGGCTTATGTCATTACTGTGATCAACATACAACAAGGATCATGTGTGTAGCCATAAAGGTACACAACTCTTTTTGGTTGAAATTACAGGTAACTTAGTGGAGGAGGATAACTGTGAGGTAATGCTACAGCAGGAGAGTAGTAATGAGTATATCAGGCAGGAGGAGGAGCCCTTGATATCATTCCATGCAATAAATGGATATTCAGATTACAGAACAATGAGGCTTAATGGATATGTAGACAGAAAGATGTTACTGATTTTGGTGGATTCAGGAAGCACACATAATTTCTTGAGCTTGAATATCGCTAAGAATTTAGGTTGCAGACTAGAAGAAGTGAAACCTTTAACTGTAGCTGTAGCTGTAGCTGATGGCTCTGAAAATAAATGTCAGCATGTTTGTAAGAGATTTTCATGGAAAATGCAGAATACTTACTTCCATGGAGATATTTTGGTTCTCCCATTGGGTGGATATGATATGGTATCGGAGTGCAATGGCTGAGTACTTTAGGGGAAATCAATTGGAATTTTCAGGACTTATATATGAAGTTTCAATATATAGGTCAACAAGTTGTATTGAGGGGACAAAAGATGGGTAATCTGAAAACAATGTAGGGGACCAGGAAGCAGTTCAGTCAGACTACTCAATTATGTTTGATTCAATGCCAGAATGAGTCAGCTGAAAATGGGGATGAATATGTTGGAAAACATTTTGGAATTAATATGCCTGAATGTTTACAGTTATTGGTTGAACAGTATGAGGACACTGCGTTATCTACTCGGTGAGTACTCAGCGACTACTCAGTGAGTACTTGCAATTTGGGTGCTGGCCTTGCCGAGTAGCTACCTGACTCGGTCCGTGTTTTATTTACAAGTTACTCGCCTTGTACTCGGCGAGTTTCTCAACTCGGTGAAGTTTTCAACTCGACGAGTTACTCGGTCTAACTTGGTCCCTTATAAAATTGAAAATCTACACTACAAAACCTAGGTTAAACGGAGTTACAGACATTGGTTATCCTCTTTGACTACGATCTCGATCTCAATAAAGTCTCATCTTCTTTCTTGTTTCTTCTTCTTCCACTCCCCTGTCCTTCTTCGCCTGTTGTTCTTATTTGGATTCTTAAAATATCACCATCTTGATTGTTTAATATTTATACACACACATATATGTTGATATAAATAAATTCTTTTCACCGGTATGATTATATATATACTCCCTCCGTCCCAAAAAAATACTTCCCGATTTGAATTGGCACGCTTATTAAGAAAGTGGAATAAATTGGAAATGTATGGTTGTAGTTGTGTAAGAAAAAGGTCAAATGAATGTGAGGCACACAAACTGTCCAAAAGGGGAAAGTGGGAAGTATTTTTTGGAACGACCCAAAAAGGAAAGTGGGAAGTATTTTTTGGAACGGAGGAAGTACTAAATAACCTTTAATTAATATCACTATATTGATTGTTTACTATGGCACATCATTGATCGATATACAGTGACACACATAATCTAATTGGCACATAATATATCTCAAGCATTTAGGAGTTGTGTTTGTTATACCAATATGATTATATACAAGTACGAAAAGTATAAGAAATAAATCTAAATATATAACCAAAATAGAAGTAGTAGACAAAAATGTGACTAGTAATTTTAGCGACTATAAAACTTACTCATAATAATTTATGTTCACATTTTAATTTTGTCAATATTTTGGGGAAAACCTCAAAATATAATCATTTCTGATTAGGAATTTAGGCAATGTTTTAGTTCTATCTATGGCAATTTCTTTTTTATAAATAAAGTACAATTCATTATGCATGTATCATGTTACATAAACAGATGATATAAATTTACAAAAAATATTGAGATTCAAGACATCTATAATTAAAATTTACAGATCTAGAGAATAATGAAAGGGAGGTAGCATATTCTTATTAGAAAGTATATTATTATAAATTGTAAATATCATATGATTACATTTGCATACATCAAACTTAATTAATACCAACACCAAATACATCACTAATTGAAAACACCCAACTTGATTTATTCCAAATAACTACAAGCTACTTACACAAATTAAACATCCTTTTCAGCATATTAGTAATTTAATAACCTTAATCCAATGCATCAAACGACACCAATCACACCATGCATGTACTTAATCATAAGTAAATATGTCAGTTTGTTGCCATAAACTGTTGCCTTTTCTCCTGCAGAAACTTAGTACTCCTCTCGTAAAGGCTATCCGTCCTCGCCGTCGTCTTCGCCATGATACCATTACTGTCTTTACCCCCACCACCACCTCCGCCGCCAGCTTCAGCTGCGGCGAGTGGAGCCAAGGTCACCGGCTGCTGCTTTCCTTGATTAGCTGGATTCATATCATGAACTCCAAAGTTCGGCTTATGGTGATCCAAAGCAGCGAAAACGCCTTTCTTCTTCTCTTCGGTATGGTTGTCGTCGTCGTCACAAAACTCCACTGGTATTTCTATGGAGGTTTGGCGGCGAGGATGAGATTTCGATCCTCTCCAAAGCCGCACACACAGCTTACCTGAGCATTTTGAAGGAGAAGAAGAAGAAAAAGAAGAAGAAGAATTTTTGTTGCCCATCTCAAGGTTGAATGATGATGAGATGAAAGATGTTATGATGGGTGCTGTTTGAATTGGGTGAGATGAAGAGGGTGGAGGGAACTGATTATTATATTTATAGTACGAGGAGATTAAATGATTAATCACTGTTTAACAACGTTTTGGTCGTGTGAAATGAAAAAGATCAGATGACAGACAGAGAGACAGACATATCTATCTACACGTTATTATATTCCTAATTATGAGGGATCAATATAATATGGAGTAACTAATTAAAGAATGTTGACTAATATGAGGGATCCATATTTAAGTAAGGAGCATATGTTTTCAGTTTTCATCTGGGATGTTTTTAAATATTGGATAGTAATTTTTGGGGTTTATATGTTCTGGTCTGATATTGTCCGATCACACATCAGTGTCATTTATATACGAAGTATGTTGTATGTGTATTTTATAACTATCAAAATATTGTTTGATTTTATCTGTTCTAGTTTGATCTGATCTATTAATTAGGTTTGGTCTAATCCATGATAAAAAAAAATGGTCTAATCTGATTTGGTCCGAGACTACAAATAGTCCAATTAAAAACAATTGAGTAGTTGTCTCCTATTTGCACGGATACGGATACGCTGATACGCCGATACGTGAATACGGGTATGGCGCTACGACAACTTGAGAAATTATAGGATACGAATATGGGGGTATATTTATAAATAATATAGGGTATAACTTGACACTATATATAATACAGATGTTCATAAATAAAATAATAATACTACCAAAAATTAACAATTATAATACAATTTCAAAGATTAGACTAAAAAACTAAAGTATTGATATTTCAATTTAAATTCAAATAATATTTTCGATTTCAACTAAAGCGCATCAAGCGACAAATTAGCGAATTACAGTATTCCAATATTTTTCATACTCTTGAAATCATATTTACCGATGTTCCACATCTTGTGGTCGCTTGAGCGGCTACTAAACTTTTGTCATGTCGTGTATGAAATTAGGGTTATAGGATTATATACGTGCATCTGTTCATAGATACGGATACTGAAAGTATTTATATTTTAAAAAATGCGTCCAATACTTTTATTAATTACGGATACAGGCCCAATACATACAAGACGTGTATCAGTGAGTATCGGTTTTGGATACATATCAGATACGCGAATACGACATCGGTGCATCATAGGTTATCACACCTTTCTTTAAAACTTTGTCGTGATGGTGGGCGTAACTCAACTGGCAGATAGGGAGTGCCACAAGGGGTAAGCATCGGATTCGAATCCTGGCCTTGTTTATAAACTCTCCTAACAAACAATTCATGTCTCTAAAACTAATTTAGTTCACGGGCAAACAATGGCGGAGCCAGAAATTGTACACTTCAAAAAATTACGGGATTGACACGGAATTTGGCACGGATTTACTGATTTTTCATGCCAAATAGCTCGTGCTAAAGTGTTTTTGGCACGGATTTAACATATCCCCACCAAAATCACTGCCAATTCCTTGCCAAAAATCTCTATCAATCCCATGTTTTTTTGTAGTGGTAGGTTAGGGGGGTGGGGCTTAAGAAATGTATATTGGGGAATCAAATTTTAAATTTTCGCTATATTTTTTACTGTTTATAAATATTTATAGATACATATACATTAGTTGTTTTTGTTTTTTTTTGACGAAATTCATACCAATAATCCATACTTCTAACGGTTCTACAATAATAATCCCTACCGAAGATGTCTATATAAATAATCCATACTCATAAACATGTCTACATAGATAGATTCGATTAATCTTTTTTATTTTTAATATATAAAGATACAATATTGACTTTGTTCACCATTGTCATAAATTTGAGTTTAGTGTTTTTATATCATTATTATAATTATTTTCTTGAAGGATAATAATCTATCTATGAAGGTTTAATCTATATATGTAGACGCATTTACGAGTTTGGATTAGAATAAATTTCACTTTTGGTCCTACGAGTATCACACCAATTTCACAATTGGTTCTCACGTCTTTGACCACTTTTGGTACATGTCTATTGTGTTTTCACTCATATATTATCCTTCCGGTAATGTTTCAGGTGGTTAAAATCACCGAAGAAGGACCACAAATGGTCAAAAACATTAATCAGGTATTAAAAATGGACAAAGTGAAAGACGTGGACTAAATGTGAAAATGACACAAAACTCGTAGGACCAAAAGTGGAATTAATTCGTTTGGATTATTTGTGTTGACTTTTTCAGTACAGATTACTATTATAGAATCACCAAAAGTACGGATTATTGGTATGAATTTCACTTTTTTTGGAGGGTGTTGTGCCCGCCTCCCTTGTGTGCACCCCTTTCGGACAAATTAAACTATTTGGCTATCAACAAGATCAATCTAAAACGTATGTCAACTCTTTACAATGACCACTATTGTATATACGTGAGTAATTTTACAAACATTTGTTGGTGTGCATACAAACATACTCCTTCCTCCATCTTTTATTACCATGTCAAATTTCGTTTTTAGTTGTTCCAAAATTTGGACACTTTCAATTTTAATCAATCAATTTGTGATTCATGTATTTCTCTCTTCTCTGCACAAACTACTGGAAGATGGAGTGAGTATATAGGTTTGTGTGCTGATTTATGTAATGTCACGCTAATAGCTAACATATATTTGGGCATAGTTGAATACTAGTGTTTATATAAAAAAAGATGACACCTCATTCTTGAGGGGTCCCATTTTAATGTTCACTAGTATATAACATGATCGCAAATATGTACTCCCTCCATCCCGAAATTAACTTCTCACTTTCCTTTTCGGGCAGTCCCGAAATTAACTTCCCACTTCTTCCCATTTTCTTATATGGCAAATTATCTACATGAAAACAGTGTAAAACCGTGCAAAACAGTACGAAACTATGTCAAAACAGTGTCAAAATAGTAAAATTTACCCCTCAATAAATTTATTTTCTTAATATGTGTGAAATCAAAGTGGGAAGTTAATTACAGGACGAAGAGAGTAGTAGATGGTACTTGCTTTCTATTTTTTACATACATATATACTACCTCCGTTTAAATAAGTGCAACATGTGAAATTTTACACTATTCACATGTTCTACTTTGACTACATTTTATTTATTGATGTATTAATATATTTTTTTGAAAAATATATTATTAAATTTGTCGTAAATTTTCAAAAACTAATTTTTCAAAATTTTTTACTAATAAAGAATTATATATATTAATGGTCAAAGTTGTGTCTCGGCAAGTGTGAAATGTTGACTGTTGCACATATTTAAGAACGGAGGAAGTACTTTGCATTGTTTTGTACGCAGTACGCTGCGTAATTGGATAGACATGAATAAAAGTTAGGGTTAATTATCAAAATAGAACTAAAAGTCACTCACTTGGCACAAATAGGATCAAAAGCTAAACTATGTTTTCATAGGACTAATTATGTGTGTCTTGGACAAATATACCCTTCTAGCTATTGAAATGTTTTAATTCATAATAAAATGATAAAAAATAATAATAATTCGTAAAAAATACTAAAAAACTAATAAAAATATTTCGATAATAATAATTAATTAATTTATTTTTTTTCAAATAATAAAAAAATTAAAAAAAAAAACTCAAAAAAATGAAATAAAATTCACCGCCGCCTCTGCCGCCTCTGCACCACCACCTCCAGTCACCGGGGAAAAAATGCCAAGTTCATTACGAATGCCACATTTATGGCAGAAAATAATGAAAATGTTGACATTCTCAAAGAGAAATATGCCATGTTTTTGGCATTTCAGGAAAAAATGGCAGTTTTTAGGAAAAATGACATTTTTTCACCGTCCGGGGATTGTGGTGCAGGGAGGTAGTACAGGCGGTGGGAAAGGCATCCATAATTTTTTTAATTTTTTTTATGGAGTTTTACTATTTTTTATTAATTTTTTAAAAAAATAAAAAAAATTAATTTTTTTTTTAATTTTTTTTTATAAATATTTTATAAATTTTTTAATTAAACATTTAATTAACTCATATTTAAAGGAAGGGTAAGAATGGAAGGAAAAAATAGGTATGTTTCCAATAGGACTAATTTGGTCCTATTTTGAAAAGAAAAACATAGTAAGTCCTATTTTGAGTTTTTGTCATAGTTTTAGTCCTATTTGGGAATAATTTCTATAAAAGTTAAAAAAACAAATTTTCGGATCTTAAAAATGATTTTTATAATAGATTAATATTATCCGTTAATTAATTTATTGTTAGAAGTGAAAAGTGATTGAAGGATCCACTTTTGAACAAAACTAAAATCTCATGACGTCCGAATATAAAAAAATGGAATTGTAGAAATCTCGCCACGGTTGAAACCAATAGTTCATACAAATGAATAAAAAAGTTGAATTATAAACTTCATTTTTAGTCAAAAATGGAATTGTCTTGACGAGATTCTCAATTCTCATGAGTCATGAAAATGTTACTCCAAAAGGGAAGGGAAGATAAAAGAATCAAACTTAGGGTACACACTTTGTGTACACACTTTTACACACTCATGTCTGTGAGGCGTTTTTTTATGTTTGTCCCATACAAAACGTATTTATCAAATACGTTTTGTCTGAAACAGACATAAAAAAAAGAATCTTCACAAACATGAGTGTGTAAGAGTGTATACGAATACAATGTACGCATAGATTTTTTCAAGATAAAAAGGGGCTAATGAAAAGGGAAGGGAATGAGTATAATTGTAATTAAAGATGGGCTTGCCTAGGCTATTGCCAGCTATAGGGACCATAGTTGTACGGGCCGGCCTTTTGGGATTGGATTCTCTAATTTTTTACGTGTAGTTGCCGAGCTGGATGGGTTCGGATTCACTCTCTTTATATTATTCACATTCTCTCCCTCACGCGGTAACATTGGTCCATTACATACGGAGTAGGTTGGAGACGAAATATTGTCAATTTTGTGGGTGATTATTGATAAGTGAAATTTCTCTAAATATGACTAACTTAGTTTTTAGACATTTATAGGACTGAAAATAAATAAAAAAATCTCGTTAATAATTAAATGTTGAATGACTAAAATACCCTTATTTAAAATAATGCACGACATTAA